AATCCCCAGCCCGGACCCGCCAAACAACAATGACGGCTGCAACCAAAAAATAGCTGGGCGTTGTGGCGGGCACCTGTGGTCCCAGCTACTTGGGAGGCGGAGGCAGGAGACTCGCTTGAGCCCAGGAGTTGGAGGTTGCTGTGAGCTGTAAAGCCACAGCACTCTACCCAGGGGGACAGCTTGAGGCTCTGTCTCAAAAAAAAAAAAAAAAGACATGGGGGTTGCCATCTCACTATGTTGCCCGGGCTTGTCTTGAACCAGCTTCAACCAATCCTACCACCTCAGCCTCTTGAGTTGCTGGAATTACAGGCTTGAGCCACCTCACCCAACTGCAAAACTATTTTTTAAGTGCCAGAGGTATTCAGTGTAGGGCCGAAGCCCACAGTATGTCAGCAGGGCCCAATCATCTAACAGGCCTAGCAAGTGTAGTGCCTGGGCCTACAACAATTTCAGGGGTCCACAGAAAAATGTTTGATTTCTTTCAAAACTAGAAGAAAAAAATAGCTTTTAGGTGGAAGAAAATGTTTTAATATATAATATTAACATGTTTCACTTTCTGCCAATCCATTCATAAAATACAGTTGTTTTTGATGGAGGAGAGGATGCCCAGGGCCTATAATAATCATAACAAAGCCCTGTATCAAAGAGACAAGTGCAAGGGTACTTTTTGGAATATCCCTAAACATAATTACCCTATACATATGAAGATGGCACATGGAAATACATCAGCGATGTGGATGTGCTGGAATACAGATGGGCCACTAGGCTACTTCTCTTGATGAGCCTGAGTACGTGTTCTACAGAGGCATGTACTGACCGGCTCTGCATGTGTGCGCTGACTAGCACATGTTCATTCATTTATTCATTGCACATTTACTGAACACCTGCTATGTGCTAATGGCTAGAGACTCAGGGAGGAACTGGAACCACTCTCTTTGGCTCAGGAGCTCAGTGTGTGAGAGAGCCACTATTTATAAATAAATAGGTGCTGGGATAAAACACTCCACAAGGCAGAAAGGGAGGATAGAGGAGGATTTCTTAGAGGAGGAGGGATGTCAATGGAACCTTTGGGTCACAGATCAGAGCAAGAAGGAAGGGTATTTTAGATGAAGGAAGCTTGACAGCAAGCCCAGAGTGTGGGTAGGTGGGTGGGCAGGGGTATGGCAGCTAAGCCAGGTTGTGCTGGGCTTTTTACCTTGCCAAGGAGTTCCAGTTTTTTTGGTTTTTTTTTTTTTTTTTTTGGTAGGCTTAGCAAGTTTGCCTGCTGTATAACTTCAAACAGAAAATTAATATAATTATTTGTTGTATCAGTCCCTTCCCCTAGCACTTGAGTTGGAGACCAGCCTGAGGAAGAGTGAGACCCTGTCTACTAAACATGACATACTGAGGCAACAAGATCTTTTGAGCCCAAGAGTTTGAGGCTGCTGTGAGCTATGATGCCATGGCACTCTACCAAATGTGGCAAAGTGAGACTCTGTCTCCAAGAAAAGAAGCAGACAGTTTAAGACTGAGATTATTCCCTTCATGTGGGAAGCTTGGATGGTCTGAAAATGAGATTGTGCCACCAGGTAATAGCCTCCCCTAAGAGGAGCCAGGCTTTTTTTTTTTTTTTTTTTTAGACAAAGTCTCCCTCTCTTGCCCTGGGTAAAGTGCCGTGATGTCATAACTCATAGCAACCTTCTGGGCTCCAGCGACATGGGGTCTCACTGTTGCTCAGGCTGGTCTTGAATTCCTTTGCTCGATCGAGCCATCTGCCCACCTTGGCCTCCCAGAGCGCTAGGATTACAGGCACGAGCCGTTATACTGGGCCCCAGAGCCAGGCTTTTGTTGGAGGGGACATGGATGGGTCTTACTGGAGAGCAGAGAAGCTGGTGTGGCCAAGCCTATGGGACCTGCTGGCAACCTGACTCCTGGAGTTTTAAGGAAACCTGTTCACCTTGGCACCTGTAGCTCAGTGGCTAGAGTGCCAGGCACATACACTGGTGTTGGCAGGTTCGAATCCAGCCTGGACTTGCCAAACGACAATGACAACTATGACCAAAGAATAGCTGGGCATTGTGGTGGGTGCCTATAGTCCCAGCTACTTGGGAGGCTGAGGCAAGAGAATTGGTTAAGCCTAAGAGTTTGAAGTTGCTGTGAGCTGTGATGCCACGGCACTCTACCCAGGGCGACATAGTGAGACTCTGTCTCCAAAAAAAAAAACCCAAAAAAACCCAAAGAACAAAAACAAGGAAAGCTGTGTGTGGCAGTGACAGTGTCTTGCTGGAGTTGCCGCATTATGAAACAGCTTGAGATTGGGGCACAGTGCTGGGACAGGCTGCCAGCTGCTGCAGGGAAACATGGCCCTTCCTGTATTCTGCCTCACTACTCATATGTCATTTATGCTGTAGCATTTGTTTGAATATTTTTGCATTACGTACATAAAATGTGAGAGAAAGGTGATTTTTCTCTACTCTTCCTTCTGAAAATTTCTCTTCTGTCAAGTTGCTTCAGTTAACAAAACAACAAAAACCCCAACTTTCTACAGGCTCAATAATTATAGTCAAGGGACAAAACTTATTATTCATACATTGAATAAAAATAAAAGAAAAGTCGCTCTTCAAAATTCAGAAGCTTTGTCTGGAAATGATTGCTCATGGTCAAGGTTGGAGGGTGTGAGCATTTATTTTGACAGCAGTTGCATCAAAAGCAATTTCCCTGATAACTAATCTCCTCCACCTCTGTCTCCCCCCGCCCCCCCAACCACTCCCCTTATTTTTGTTATCAGTGAAATGCTTGTCTGGCAGGGGGGTAATCTCTGATCAAATGGTGTTTTTTGACAGTTAACAGATATTTACCGAGAGCTATTCTCTGCAGGTCCTTGAAGGGTCTATGTGAGAAGTGGTTTAGTGACATTGGGCACTGCCCTCTCCTTCAGGAATCCTCACCCTTTGGCTTCCATCAAAGGCTCCCCAAAGACAAGAGCTCTCACGTGCCCTACCCTTTCTCCTTTAGTTGACAGCCTCTGCTTCCTCTTCTTTCTGGCACCGGGTCCAGCCCTCACTCACTTTTCACCCTGCACCCGATGCTGCCCACATATGTCCCTCCCCTTCCCAGCAGCTCTTTGGGGGGCAGATTCCTACTGAAAAGAACCATCATTCCCTCACACTCCAAAGAACCTTCAGTATCTCTCATAACAAATGTTCTCTTTCCCCAGGGTCCCTATTTCCAGTGCTCTAAGCCACCACCCAGCCTACAAACAGCTTTGTGTCTGCCATTTCCACACCCTCACCGCATTCATCTGGTCAACAGGTCTTAGGAGCTCTTCTTTGGAAATTTCTTTCTTTCCTGTCCCCTCCTCCCTGCTACAATCCCTCTTTGTTACTTTGCTAGGTCCTAGGCTGCAGGCTTCTGGCATCCCACAGTTCCAGGGATGGAGCCCTCTGCTGAATGCAGGTTCCATTTCAACCCTTTTGAGGTTCCCAGTATTGTAGGGTTAACCTGAGCCACCTCACTTTAGTATTTGATGCCTTTCCATAGGGAGCCCCAACCCGGTTTCCAGTATGCCTCCTCCCACCTGCCTTCTAGCATGGGTGCCAAGCCCCAGGCAGCCCTGCTCAGGAAAGCTGGTACACCCTCTGTACACGGTCTGCTTGGCTAGGGCAGCACCAATAGCCCCTAGCCTCATTATCTACAGAATAGCTCAGTCCCACTTCCTCCAAAAAGACTTCCTGGACCATGTTGCCTCCTTTGGATTTTTACCTAGTGATTCAATTGTCAATGAATCACTGTTACTTTTTTTTTTTCTTTCAGTTTTTGGCTGGGGTCAGGTTTGAACCAGCCAGCTTTGGTATATGGGGCAGGAGCTCTACTCCTTGAGCCACAGGCGCCACCCAATCACTGTTACTTTTTTGAGGTTCTTTTGTCTTGTTATTTTGAATTGTTGAATTTTGAAGCATCTATTTCATTCAATATGTCAGCAAACATTTACTTATTAAGTACAGGTTGTGTGGCATTTTTAAAATCAGTTTTCTTGGGAAATTCTCACAACCAGGTGGAGTATACGGGTTGAGTATATGCCTCATTTTACAGATGAGGAAACTAAGGCTCTGGAAGGATAGTGTTTTTTTCCCAAGTTCTCACAGCTAGCGAGCAGCATGCCCCACTTTTCCCTGAGCTGAGCCTAAACTAGACTAGGACCTGAAAACTGACTTCTAATCCCCACCCTACTTCTTATCAGCCCTGTAACTTACAATCTTTCATTTTCTTTTCTTTTTTTGAAACAGGGTCTTGCTATGTTGTCCAGGCTGGACTCGAACTCCGAGGCTGAAATGATCCTCCCGCCTCAGCCTCCTAAGTGACCGGGACTTACAGGCTTGCACCACCATACCAGGGGCTGCGACGGTAATCTCATCAGCGTCTATACATAATAGGTGCTCAATAAATACGTGAAGTTTTGACTTTTCCAAGTTGCATCACTTTCCAAGTTGAAGAAGAGAACTACACCTCAAGTTTTTGACTAGTTGGGGAGAAAAGGTTTGCATAGAAGGGTAGGGGGGAAACCGCGCTCAGGGCAGTGGGCTGGCGGTGGTAGGGAAGGCTTCCTGGGGACCGGCAATTTGGAAAGGAAAATACCCGGCCAAGGCGGAGGGGAGGCGGGAGGACATTCCGATCTGGGGAGGGGTGAGGACAAAGCGTTGCTGGAGTGGAGTGTGAGGCTTGAGGTGGGTGCGGAGGGGAGCTGGAGGGAGGCAGAGGCAGGGCGCGCCGGGATCCGACACCGGGTCCCGGTGGAGTCCGGGTGCCTGGGGACGTCTGTCCGAGGGGCCTGGCTGGGGAGCGAAGGGAACGTGGGGTGGCCCGGGAGGGGCGTCGGGCGCGGGCTCCCGGGGCCAGGTGCTCGCCCCGCGGCCGCCCGGCCGGTCCCGGCCCCTCCCGGCTGCCCCTCCTCCGGGAGGGCGGGCGGCGACTGCGGGGCGGGGCGCGGGCTCGCCCGGCCTCCTGGCTGCGCGACGGTCACTGCACTCGCGCCGGGTTGTGCTGGCTGCAGCGGGAGCGGGACTCCGAAGCGGCGGCGGTAAGTGAGCGCCGAGCGGGAGCTGGCGGGTGTGCGAGCGGAGCGGGACCCGGGGGCCGAGGTGCGGCCCAGGGCGACGGGACCCTTGGGGCGCGGGCTCAGCCAGGTGCTCCGGGCTCAGCCGCGCGTCCTCCCTCCGAGCTGGCGCTGCTTCGCCGCTGGGTGCGGGTCCTGGGGCTGAAAGGTGCGCTCCTGGCTTCTCACCGCGCCCTGCCCGGAGACGAGCGGGACCGATGGCCTCTCCTGGGGAACTGGCGTTGGGGCGGGGCAGAGAGGGAAGAGGGTCTCCCGGACCTCCCTGGTGAAAGGAGGGCTTGGCTGTCTTAGCACCCCTACCTGGAGTGTTGGGAGGGACCCACGCGGAGCACCGCAGTCCCTGTCCTGTCTTGTACTTAGTTCCTCTGCACGCTCGTCCAGCCAGTCCCATGAGAAGAAGGGGGTTTGTGGCCCCCCTTTCTCCTTGGCCCTCTCCGCCCGACACCCACCAGGCTGGTCATCCCGAAAGCCCCCGCCTCACTTAGAGCACATAGCCTAGCTTTCCAAGGGACTTTTCCAAGTTTCATCACTGTTTGGCCACTAGACAGGTGCTTGGCTGTCACGTTGGAGTTAGTTACATAGGATTTTAGAAACTTTGTGCGTTTGTTCTGGGTGTCCCCCAAGGAAGCAGTGCCCTTCCAACGCTGCTTATGCAGCTCAAAGCTCCCGGAGAATTCTTTGGGGGACATTGGTTCCCAAACTTGGCTGCGCACTTGGAGAGTTTTAAAAATACTGGTGCCTGTGTTCTACCTCCAGAGATCCCGATTCAGTTGGTGTGGGCTGAGCCTAGACAATGGAAGTTTTAACAGCCCTCCAGGTGATTCTACTGTACAACCAAGGCTGAGAATCTCTGCTTTAGGGATTACTTGCACCAGCCACCTTTTGAATCACTAAAGATCCTGATATAAAACTTATCTCGGCGCTCTGGAGTCTCCTGTAATCGACCTCTTCACCTAGAGACCTGTTGGTTGGTGCTTTCCAACTTAAACTGCAGATGGTGCCTGCTGAAGTTCCCTTTGTTTCTACCTCTCACTTTGCAGTAAATACTGCTGGGCACTTTCTGTCAAGGAGTTGGGAACGTGGGTAGTAGGACTAGGGCGCTCTTGTGAGGGTCAAGGTTATAAGATAGGGCTGTCTTATTCAGGAAAAACCAAATGATAGCTTGACTTGTCATTTTTGGAAAGGATTTCTGATGAAAAGGAGGGCAAATTCTTTAGGAATTGGTTAGCTTTTTGATCATCATTTCCCATATGGAGATAATGGTTTTGCATAAATGTGGGGAATTTTCCTTCTGGAAGCAAAACTAAAACAATTTTAAGGTTTTGTGGTTGATATTTGTGTTCATGTGTGTGTATTTGTTAATAGGTTAAATTTTTGATGTGTGATCGGGCCCTGCAGATGTCACACAGTGAATATTGTTGATAGAATAATATCTGAGTTAGGTAATCAGTGCACATCTGAGATTAGACCTCAGACACTTGTCAAACGATCTTAAAAATGATGGGGAACTAGGACTGAGGAAACTCTGAACTTATGTTTACATTGGCTGAGTTAGATCATCTATATTTTATTAAGAAAGTGTGTTTTCTGCATCCTACTTATTAACAGGGTAGTCTCCAGAAAGCTTGATTTACTGTTGTTTCCCAAGTGTGATGTTTGTATTAGAGTCCCACCTGGATGTTGCTACTTGGCCACAAATCAGTGGATTTAATTTTTTTCTTAGGTGCTGGCCCTCTATTCTGTATGTATGTATGTATGTGTATATATCTATATATATATATCTATACATCTATCTATATCTATATGTATATACACACACACATACACAT